TTTTCAATTAATAGACAAGCAACTTATTAACTTTATCAAGAAAAAAAATTCATATGTAATTCTGCGTTCTAATTAGTTAATTTAGAAATTCAAATTTACGAATTTTTTAACACCCTCACGTGAATTTGACAGCCCCTGGATGAATTTAATCTATCTATAGAAATTTGCACATTAATATCCTCTCCCCTGCATCCTTCAAAGTTCATTCACTTCGTTATGCATAGCATTTGCTGTCGTGTCACGTGATCGACAAATTACCAAGCAACATATGATAAGAAATAAAATTACACGTAGATAAAGTGTGACGCGCGAAAACGCAATACATACATTTAAGAAAACGCTTGTTAATTTCATATTTTAACAAAAAATGCTACTTACAAAGTTTTAGTATATTAGCTTACTCTAACCTTAACATTAAAACCTAATCCTAACTTTAACCAACAAACATTTATCCCGTTTCTTATAAATCGGAATGCATCATGCAAAAAACTATAGGCTGCACATTATACATATATAAATTCACGTAACTGGCCTTTGTTTTTAAAATAATGCATGATTTTCTGAACACAGCATATACCAATAGAATGAATGCCTGGTTTTAACACGCTCGATATCGGGATTTATTGTTTCGAATAATTACTTATTAGGAAAATTAACTATTCTGATTTTGAATATTCTAATTCAATTTTTTTTTTTGCATTGTCTCCCATCAAACCCTGCGTCGTATAAATATGTTCTATTGTATTTTCTCATAAGTGTTACAAATTTACGATCGCATGCTCAATTTTTATTTACATGACAGCAACAATAGATTAGATAACCTATTCGTATTGAAACTGTATTACCATTAAAATATATTTATACGGTTGCACTTTAAGGTGTTAGCGTTTCACGTACGTACGTCTAGTACAAAGAAATAATACTTTCGCAATAATCGCAATATATACATGCAATATATATGCAAAAAAACTTCTCACGAATAATATTTTCATAACCTTTAATTATTGAATAAATAATTGTGTTCGTTACATTTCGTCTTAATAAAATCACTGTGAAGTTGAATTTTCACGTTACACGCTGATATTGAGATTTTATTGGCCGATCAGGAGAATGCGGGGATGCGACAAGCATTTATTATGCAATATAATACCATGCAAGGCGTAAGGGAAATCAAAAACTGTAGTACACATTATCAAATTTAACGTTAATAGATTAGATGCTAGAAAAAATTTTGAAGTAACTCCAATAATGTATATAATATCCCTTATTTCCCCAGCGTAAAATCCACAATTCATAATTTTTATTTTTCATTTTTTACGAAAGATACATTGACCTTGATGGTTATGTTCTTTCTTTAAATCATATTACGAACCTCTTTAAAATAAGCTTGTATTTTTAACTATAGATTCCTAACTATATATATATATACTTTAATTAATCCTAGACTGAAAGAAAAAAATGTTTAAAAGAACTTTTGTATCAAAATCATCTACTTACATAGAAATTGAAGATACTGATTTTCATTACCGTTACGATGAAGATGTCGTAATTATCTGGTGTCCTAATGATCAAATGGCTATTTTTATACATCGAGAAATGAAATTAACGACAAAACAACGACTGATTAAAAGGTTGGAGAAGAAGAAAAGATGCTATTATAAGGTTGGTTTTATTAATATGTTATTATTATTATTATTATTATTATTATTGTAAACTTTTTTTTTAATTATTAGTATCTATATTTTTATAGAAATTAACAAATCTTTTCAAGAAGAATAGTCAAAAAGAGGCTGATGATGACATGGATTTTTGGTGTTGTGGCTAATGTACATTATATCTTTGGAGAAATATTGCTTCAAGAAAAGAAAAGTATTGCTTCAAGAGAAGATACCGTCACACCCGCGTCCGTCATTGTTGAAATGCAAATGCGGCCAGTAAATAATTACAAGAAAAGTTACCGATAAATTTTAACAAATTATGCTAGGCTTCACATTTAAGTCATCTTATTAATCTATATGAACTTTAAGAAAAATTTCACCTATGATTATTTAATTTTTTGTAAATATTTCAATTATTACTTTCTAAATTACACGATATAATACTTGCTATACTGTCGGTTAGATTTAATTTTTGTCATTCCTATTTCAAGTTACTTCTAAAAAAAATAGATATTTTTACATTAAACCATTTAAAAAAAAACATTGTAAAGCATAAACAAAAAAGAACATTTCTGAAACAAAATATTTAATTATTCTAGAAAAATAAACATTAATTATCCTTATATATTTTTATATAAATTTGTATATAGAAAGCTTATTAACTATCGGGCTATCCGTTATTTCAATTATACGTAGTTGTGTTAACTTACTTGTAGATATCGATATCGACATCGATATGGCAATTAAATTAATTACAAATGTATCAGATCTATACGCATGCCACTA